CATCTGGCTCACCCCCAATCCCTGCACTTTTCCATCACACTCATCTCTAGTGAGCCCCAATTAAACTTCCTTCCAATTTAACAGCTCCTGAGCTAAGGTTCTTTCCCCCCTTTGCGACAGGTGAGACCAGCTAAAGCCATTTCTCCAATTCCATTCTTTGTTCTCTATATATATATGTATACACACACCACACACACACACACACACACACACACACTTTTATTTTTTTTAAATTCTGCTTAAGTTTATATCAGTCACGTATTCTATGGCCTTTGTTCTTCCTACTCATCATCCTTTGTCTCTCACTCCAAGTGCACTTGACTCATAAAACACAGCCCAAAGCAGCAGCAGTCATAGAAGATAGCACACTGGGAGCAAGCCGGTAATACTTTCCATATGTTGCCCAAGTGAAAGTCTGACACCAACCCTGTAAAACAAGGTGGAGGTACTTTCCTGCTTCCAGGGCCCAGCCACCACAGGTAGGCAGGCTACACACACTAAAACCAAGATCACAAGTTCAGCATTTTTAATGACAGAAAATCATTTGGGGAATCTGCATCTGTAGTTTGTGCTTAACTGATGTTTACAGTACTTACAGCCTAAATGATCTCTGATTTAATTAACATTTGCAATCGATTTCACAGAATATTTATCATTCCATTTTGTGCAGGAAAGCAATATCGTCACACAGACTAAATATTTACTGCAACTTTAATGGAAATCTTTGCTTGATTTCTTTTTTTTTTCCCAAATTAATGTAGAATGAATATTGACTGTATTTCTGGAGTTTTTCTTTTTCTAAGACAGAAATTCAGCTGTAAGCAATTAGAAGCTATTCTGTAAAAATGAATGTGTTCCTGTAGGAAGACAAATAATCAGTCATCAACATGCAATATTCTCTGAGGACACTAGAGTAACTAACTGACCTAGATATTGCTGTATTTTGCTGACACAGGCAATTTCTGAAGTACCAAACCAAGCGACTAAGAGACCCAAACCATATTTTTCAAGTGCAATTCTTGTACATATAACATAAACAAAGAATAGATGAGTTAAACGCAGCATCAGCACTCAGAAGAATGACAAATGAGAATGTAAAGACACTTTTTTGTTTTTTATCACATTATCGGAGCACTTACAAAAATAAAAGTACCCTTTGGGCACACAGACCAGTATTTAGTATTTTCAGAAAATTTTCTGAAGTTGTTATAAAAGGAATCATAGCTACACTTAAGTATTTCTAGAAAGGCCATAATAAAGAAACATAATATCTGATTTGCAATAGCTCTGTAAGTTAGTTATGCTTTCAAAGTGTCATGAAATTACACTTCAAGAATAGATAGCCACATAAAATGCTTTCACTTTGATCAGCTTGTTTACCCTATTTGTACAGCATAAGCAAATATAGACATGTATTACAAAGAATTTCACTATTTGTCACTTCTTACTTACACAATTCCAGTTAAAAAAAAAAAAGTAGAACTCTATTTGTACTTCCTAGCATTTTCTTTTTCATTTAAAAAAGATAAAAAAGAAGCTTTGTCATGTATTTTTTTGTAATAAGTAATAAAAATGAGTAACTTTTACACTGCTATCATTTGCCAAAGAATCTAGACTCACATTTGACCGTGGCATCTAAGATTTCTCTACAGAAGCTGAAATTGATTCAGCTGCTCATTTAAAACTTTGAAATATATTTAAATTCAACTTAAATTCAACCGAGCTTGTATTTCTTGTATATGCACACACAAACAGTACTGCTCCTATGCCTGGTCCAGTGGTTGGCGACCCTGCACATAGCAGGGGGTTGAAAGTAGGTGATCATTATGGTCCTTTTCAACCCAGGCCATCCTTTGATTCTACGATTCTATGATTCTACGTGTAGTGACCACAGAGGACAATGTCCTAAGATCAAAGTCATATCAATGTGCTATACTTTTCATTAATTAAAACTGTACTTAAAGCATATATGCCAAGGCCATCCAGCTAAAAATTCAGAATTTCAGAAACAATTTAGAAATGACATAAAGCAATATAATTTCTTTGCTTTAACCAATTATCTTCTTGTTCTGTTCAATCTGATCATGACTTAACTTTAAGATATAATACAAAAAATGAGAGTCCATACTGGAGGCATAAAACAATGTATTGGACAACAGCATTGGAGCTGCTGCACACAGAAAGGTAGACTGTGCTTTTTAAAATGTAATAAAAATAAAACTTGTACACTACAAGGCATGTCGTTGAAGGTATCACTACCTTTCCTGCATCCAAAGATAAAATTAACCACTCTTGAGACTCACCTGAGTCAATTTTAGAGCTGTAGCACACTCATCCTTTTAAAACAGACAACAGTTTTACCTGCCACAATTAACTAAGTTCTGTGTCCATGCCCATATTCTTCTCGACTTCGTTTTACTGAAGTACTGTACTGAAATTCTGAACTACCTTTGGCGGTGCACTCCTTGCCCTCTCACCCAGCCTGGTTGTTATGTCCAAGAGCAAGTGCATACTACGAGGTGCAAAAGATCTTGCCTTTGTGACCAGTAACAGTCAAGGCCTCATGGAGACAGTCAGTAACCCACCACATTGCCTCAGACTGAGTGCTTTGAGAACTGATGACAGGCACCTAGCTCAACAGATCCAATTCTAAGTTGTATGACTATGAATCAATCATCTTACTCCATAAATACAAAGCAGCCTAAGAATCCCTTTTGAGAGTTCTTCTTGCAAGCAGCTGGCTGCACACCAGAATCTCCCCGAGCAGAGACACCTCTCAAGGTTACTTAATGCCTGTGCAGAGATTTACCGAGGATATGGTGATGCACTCCTGACAGATTCTCAGTAAACTACATAGCGTTTTTGAACTACACAAGCTTTGCTAAGATTTGATGTTGGATTCACTATGCACACTGCCACCACCCCCCTCTGTGTAGCAAAGAGTCAAGGATATCTAGCCACTTCAAAACTTGTTAAGTGGCTGTCACAACTGTTCAAATTAACACATTGTATCTATTTCACATCAATAAATATCTTTTTGTCTTCCTCTTAAGAATGAAGTGCGCAGTGCTTTAGCCCCCATCCACACAACAAAAATTTAAATCTTTTTTAAATTACTTACTAGTCACAGGGACCTGGACAAGCTTGAAAAGTGGGCCCATATGAACCGAACGACATTCAACAAGGCCAAGTGCAAGGTGCACAATCTCACATTTTCAAAGACCTACTTGGAGGCAACCCATTCTCACCAAAATCTGTGAATGAAATTTGCCAACCCAAGCGATGGGTTAGAAAGCCAACACTGCTTTACTGTAGCACAACAGATTGCTCCTCCTAGCACACATACCCAAGATCTAAAGCACACAGATTGTGTACATTTTAAAATGTGAATATTCCACAAAGTGCCTCCCTATTCCTAGAATTGCAACACATACTGTAAGTTAATACTTCTCATGCACTGTGTTAACACAGGGTTTTTGCAAAGAGGTCTTTGGTGGTTGCAAGGTTCCACTGGGAGGTGTTGTCTGGGTAAAAGGTCATGTATTATGTAGGCCAGGTCCCATATTTGGTCAAGAACTTTACAAAAAGACATGGCTGCTGACTAAATTTCTGATCAGTGTGTCGACTTTGTTATGGTGCCTATACTATCAATCCCATGGTCTCTGATCGTATCCTGCTCAACCAAAGGACAGTCTTCTGTTCCTCAGACTCACTCTCTTCCTCCAGGGTGTAGGGATCCTAAGGGGCAACCTTTGTAGTGAAGACAGAATCAAAGAAGCCATTCAATATCTCTGCCTTCTCAGCATCTCCTGTTACCAGGGCACCCACCTCATCAGTAGTACACTCACATTTTCCCCAGCTTTCCTTTTACTGTTAACACACTTAAAAAAACCTTCCTTGTTGTCCTTGACCTCCTTTGCCTTGTCCAGACTGAATTCCAAGTGGGTTTAAGCCTTCCTCATTGCATGCCTGCACGCCCTGACAGCTTTTCTACATTCCTCCCAGGTGGCCAGGGTTTTTTTCCACATTTCATAAATTTTCTTCATTGTATTGCAGGAACTGTGCAGGCCTGGCTGTCTTGCTAGTGGAACAGATATCAGAACGGTTAAGGTGTCCTGCAAGAACTAGTGACAGGATCACAAAGCTACTTCCAGGTGTCCGCAGAAGGCCTTATCAACTTCCTCCTCCTGATCAGATACCCTGTAGTATACATCCACAACAGTGTCACCTATATTAAGCTGCTCCTTAAGTATCACCCACAAGTTCTTCCTTTGATCATCATTCACCCCTTAAAGTAAAGCTCAATACGCTATAATTGCTCTCTCACACAAAGAACAGCTCCATCACCTCACTTTACCAACTTATCTCTCCTAAATGGGACATACCCATTCATGACAGCATTCCAGTCATGCAGGCTTTCCCATCACGTCTCCATGATCACAGTGAGATCATGGCCCTGTGACTGCACACATCTCTGGTTCTTCCTCTTTATTTCCTATGTTGCATGCATTAGAATACAAGCACACTAGGGAAAAAGAAGAATTCTAGAGGAATACAAGAAGATTTCATGTAGGCATACTAATTCTTGGGGTGTCTGGCCTTCTGGCTTTTTTCATTACAGGTAGCTAAGGAACATCTGTTATTTTTACTGCTGCCTTTCTTCATTCCCTAATTAATTGCAATGGCACAAGCACTGCCTTTATGGACCCCAATGACTCATATATCTTCAATACATTTAACTTCCACTTGAAAATTTCCATAAAAAGAAATTGTTTTTAAAGAACATTACACGGATTTAGCTGAGAACAAAATCAGTACTGAAAGGAATACATGCTGCTGGGAAGTAACAAGAAAAAAAAAAGAAAGAAGAGTAACTACAAATAGAAGTGGCAGGGTTAGATACCACCTGAAAGTTCCCTGCTTCTCATTGACTTTAATAGATAATTACCAAAAAGATGCAACAGAAATCCCTTTAACAACAGTTCTCTGCAGTGACTTACCAACTTCGCTGCTTTTCCATAATCAATCCATCTGATGGTTGCAAAGTTTGTTGACTCTGCACAGTTGAAGCCATGGTTAAATCCTGCATGGTATCCATATGGGAAAGTGATCATAAATTCCCCTGCCTCTTGTGTAACCTGTTGCATTAAAAAAAGAAAGTGAAGCGTTTTACAAAAACAGTTCTGCTCTTGAACCAATTAAAATTACACTGTTCCTTTACCGTTATTTAGATAGAAAAAAATTTCTCCTTCCACACAACTGTCATTTCATAAAATCATAGAATCACAGAATCACAAGGTTGGAAAAGACCTATAAAGATCATCCAGTCCAACCGTCCTCCCACCACCACTGCTACCACAAGCACTAAACCATATCTCTCAGCTCCTCAATCAGACGCTTCTTGAACACTGCCAGGGATGGCGACTCCCTTGCAGGCCATTCCAGTGCCTGACCATTCTCTGAGAGAAAAAGTATTTCCTCTAACCTAAACCTCTTCTGGTACAACTTGATACTTCAGTAACTTCAATACATGTAGAAATGCAATGCTTGAGACAATGTTATTTACTTTAACTGGAATACCTCCTCAGTATAGCTTCATGTATCCCTTTACGAAATCAGAAATTACTTTCAAAGAAATAAATCTTGGAGGTGTTTTCTGATAATATGTGGAAGAACAGGGAGCTAGAAAAGACAGAGGAAAGAATGTACCAATCTTCCTGAGAGGGATCAGAGATACAATGGACTGAAAATATCCACAGTTACCATCCCTAAGTACTAGAATGCAATGAAGAAATTATTCTGTTCACCACCCTCAAGATGATTCCCTAAAATCGCACCAGAAGTATTCTGCTGTTTCTGGAAAAAAACTTTATCCCCAGCCTTCTCTCATACTCACCTAAGGGACTGATTAGGCTTTTAAGCTATAGTGATGATCCAGCATAAAATAGAAGAAACTAAGTTAGTGAGCCTTGACACAGAAAATATGTTTTATACCAGTAGAATATACTAGAAGGAAAACAGTGAAAACACATTACATTATGTTCACCTGAGGCAGTATCTTCAGATCACTTTGTATAGGAAAGAAAACTACCAATTCCACTGCACCGGGCCCTAATTATTACATTTATTAACACATAACAGGACTCTTGAGCTGGATATACCATGCAGAACATCTGAACTTTAAATCGTTATTTTAAATGCACAAGCACTATTTCAAAATTAAATGTAATGTGCTTCTGTCCTCATCCTCTTTCTCTATAGGCACAGTTTAAGAGAGAATAATTCTGGTACTTATGACCATAACTCCACATACTTAAGTACAGGTGGCCTCAGAGAAGATCCTCAAAGAGGAATAGCTTAACTACACTTAAGATTTGGTACTGCATTAGAAAATAAGCAAGGGTAGTTCTGAGTCATTATTCTGTTATTTCCAAGTACAGCAAAGAGCATTCAAAATAAATGCTTGCTGAGGCTACTGATTCAACAAGAAATTACAGGTAGAAGAAAAAGAAGAAGAAAAAAACGCTAAAAATACTGTGATAGTAACTGTATTTTGCACAAAGTCTCAAAGAAACCAAATTCCTATCAGTTACCAACACCAGACATAAAATTCTTCTAGAAGAAAATAAAAAAATAAAATAATAATTAAAAAAAAAAAAAAAAAAAAGTGGGATCAGATAAGCAGAAGATTGGTCAGGATATTCTCTTTCACGGTGAAAAACAACCTCTTATCTTCCCACACTTGGATGGACTGGTGCTCTCCAGAGCCGAAGAAAAATAGTCAGCACTTATTCGTCACTCACTAATATCTGTCCAGGAGACTAAAGCCTCAGTAAAGACCACCAAAGACTGTATCAAGGACAAACTAGTCAGAGACTAGAAATGGTACAAGGTCTCCTCAACCATCTGACAAGAGTTAATCTGTAAGCTAGAAGATTCAGAAGTAAAGGGTCAAATGAGCTTTACATGAAAACAGCAACAGAAGACAGCACCACTAAAAAGCAATCTAAGTTCAGCAGATAATCTGAGTAATGATGAATGTCTGCTCAAAAAATTGTATTCACTGATTACAGGGGAATAAGGAGACTTCCTAGAGATGAAATAGATTTATTTTCATTGTATGACAATGCTTTGCAAAGAAATACTGTATGATTTTAAGTAGCAAAAATTGAGAGACTTGAAACAATTCAATAAATCAAAATCACATTTTGAGACATTTTTCTAATAAGAATCTGTTTTTACAAGCCCCTTTCCTCTCTTTCAAAATTTTCATCTACTAGTTGTTAAAATTCCTTTCTTTGCTTTTTACGTGTGGTGCAAGAATAAGCACAAAGGTTTAACACTTCACCAATTGATAAATTGCTGATAGTCTTATGCAAAGAGGGAGGAAAAAAAAAAGAAAAAAAAAAAACAAGAAAAATATGCTGAGCTGAAATATAAAGCACTGAAAAATTGTATTTTACATTTTTCATTTGCATTTTGCAAGGTTAATATTTTGGGGGGTTCATACGTAGCATATACATGCAAACACAGATACAGATGCATATATTATAAATGCTACTATAGTACTTCAACAATCACTGTGGGAATGTTTAAGAAGGATTATTCTCAATGCCAGCAATTCCAAAATTTATCTCAATACACCCTCCCACTGCTGACAGTTTAGCAGGTGTTCTATTGCAACAAGCACCAGTTCAGCTGCCACCTGGTAGGCGTAGGCTGTCTTATCAGCGTTCAGCACATTTCCAGTTCTATCACTTTGAGCCATGAGAGATCACAGCCTGGTTTTCTCTATTCACTTTCTCACTGAATCCCATTAATTACAATTACACTTGGGTACAGACTGCTTCTTCCTAACACTATTTGACAGAACCAAACTTAAAATATTTAACTATTTCTAGCACTTTCATTTAAAAAAACTGAAGAACAGATTCAATCAATACAGTGAATTAAGAACATCAGATCCCTTACCCACCCCAAACGTGTGGTACTGAAAACAAACGTACCAGCATTCACCAAGATGCTACCTTAAACACTAACCACCGAAAATTAAACTGCTCAGAGTAATGATCAGTAAATCCAACATCATAAATCGAGCTATAAAACCTTCCTGTTTGGAAGGATACATTTGACACTTCTGATAAAGCATAAGATTATGAAGGGAATCAGTACTTACCTGTATATTACAAAGCTGAACTCAGCAGCTACAATGACAATATATCATTCAGAAAACAAACTTTTTATGTAATTTATTCAAAAAGCTTGCTTTCCAAGGCAGGCTGTATCATTCAAAAAAGCCCACATTTCTCCAGTTTTATACATATGTTAATTTAAGCATAAAAAGAGATATAATCTTTCAAAAGGCATGAACAAATGAGTGGCTTCATACCATACAAAAATCTACCTTACTCTTTGCTTCTGTGCCTTAAGAATAATGCTGCATTTCCCAAATGCTTTTTTAATCAACCTTTAACCTTCTTAAATTTGTATCTATTCAGTTTTACCACAAGCATATAACTCCTAGTACCAGTTCCTGTTAATTCAGTAGTAACTATTGTAGTTGCAGACAATGGTGTAGATATTTGAGAATATTTCATATTGTTGGCAAATATATGTTGTAAGATCTCTCTCAAGACATAATCGAGAAATAATCTTTAATTGTATTTACTTCATGAACAAGGGATTGATTTCAGATGGTATTAAAGGCTAAAAAGTGCATAATATATTATACCACCCTACCAGTTCTGAGCTTATTTCATATTCATTCACTTGAAATACTGCATGCTGTATTTCTTATCATTCTACATAATATATAGAAAAGCATAATTCAAGCAATTCCATGGGCTACATTTAATACTGTTAGATAAACATCAACAAAAAGAGATGGGAAGTATTGCATAATCTAGGAAGGGGAATGTGGGAAGCTAACTACACATACAAAGGCCTATATGGTATAAATATACAAATACACCCTGAAATAAAAACTTCAACAATAAACAAGGAGTGTGGTGAGGACAGTTTAAAGGACTTTTCCACAGCAAGACAAGATTAAGAATTGTAACCATTAGTTGATCAAAGGGCTTTTAAGATATTAGAACAGAAACAGATGTTCAGGCAGGAGACTGTGAATCAGAGTGTACTCTTCTGAGCCAGCTTGCAAAATATTTTCATTTAGAAATTCAGAATTTACAAATTGTTCAGGATACAGAATACATATACTAAGGTGAAAGCAATGTAGTAAAACACTTTTACTAGCTGGCACCTGCAGGAAGCTCAAAATTCAACAGAAAATGTTCAATGAAAAAACAGAAAAGAAAATTTTGAGGGTGACAACAAACAGAATACTTCATGTTTGAAAGCAATCAAGTTTTAAATTTATCCACCAAGAAAAACCCCAAAATTTATTCTTTCCACTTCCTACTAACAAAGTTCCAGTACACAACTACCCAGCACTACAAAATAATCATTCTTTGTTTTTGTCATGTTTCAGCTTTTTGTGTATTTTAAATTAAATAACAGTTCTTTCAGTTTCATTCCACTCCGTAAATAACCTGAAGCTTTTTTTATTTTACAACCTGTACAGATGTACTAAATCGCATCAGAAAAGCGATACAGAAACATTTAAAAAATAAAGCATTTGTTCTAAAATATTAGGTATACAGCTAGCAGTAATGCAACTAGATAAGAAGGGTTTCAGTCACTAGACAAGAATATACCAGGCTCGCATGAAAACTGCACAAAATAAAAAATAATGGTGATCCATTAAAAGCACAGACACTGTCAGGTACAGACTTTGACAACTGCAAGCAGTCATAGTCTCTCTACTACAAAATTGCAACCTAACTCATGTAAGAGTTCTAATATTACAGGCATTTGTTTTCACTGTTTTAGGGAGTCAGGGCATAAAACATACGTTTTTACCTCAGTGTTACTTCTACTATAAAGAATCTGTACAATAAGCACAGTATAACTCGACACATGAATGCAGTTTAAAAATAAACACCAGTGTACCTTGTCAAAAGGAATTCCGTACTTTTTCAGTATTGAGGGAGAAATCAGAGTCATCTTGTGGCGAAGAAACGCATTACATCCATGAGAGCTGCTTGGGAAGAATCCTGGTGAGGGAAGATAAGCAAAATTGGGTATCTTTTAATTAAAACAAGAAGAAAATTTTTGTACTTTTTTTTTTTTCACAATAAATTATACATCTTCCTGTCATTGTTAGCCACTGAGAGATTTGTATAAAACTCAAATGCATTTCCTACATTTTTCAGCTATTTTTCACCTTTTGTTTGCTTTTTAAAGAACTAAATGATTCTTAAAAACCTCACCTGTAGATTTGGCCATCCTGTTATTTCGTATTCCAATTACACTTCATTCTATATTTTCCCACTTTACTGTTCACTCTGCCACCCCTGCACACATGAAAATCAACCACACTACATAAAGTCAGGATTCCACAACAACCAGATTTACTAGCACTTGAAGATCATACAGAGCAAAGAAACAACACCTTCTACTTACAAAAAGCCCAAAAGCATGGCATCATTTTTAACTATTTATCAAAGTTCAGAGAGGTTTTTTTGGTGTTTTGACAGCAGCTTTTCCATTTTGTTTTGATTCTTGCTTTTTTTGTATCTGATTTTGAATTCTTTGAACAAAAATTGGTGTGAAGCTATTCAGGTTTCAACTTTCGTGATTATTTATGAACTAATCCACTAAATCCATTTAGTTCATTAAGTAAAGATAAAATCCAGCTGGTGAGTACATGGAGATGAATGAATGAAGGGAAAAGCAAAAAAAAAAAATCCAAGATCATGTTTCAGCACCACTAAATATCAGTATCTCAGAAAACATCAGTTTCACTTACCCTCAACCCAAACATACCACAGCAAGAAAACACTGTTACAATAAGGAAAATGGGGAAAATGGAGAAGGACAAGGAGGGCAAGTTTTCAAAACACTCCATTAATCCTTCCAGATTACATTATGGAAAGAACAACAGAGTCTGGAAAAAGAAAAGGGCATAGTAGTTAACAACAAAATGCCCATGAAAAGTTCAGATTGAAAAATGAAGGAGTACAGTGAGAACCATTTAACCAGCTGCTGTCTCTGCTCTCAGCCCCCATTCTGCTTCAGTACAGATGCATGCCCCGCTCCGAAGTAAGGGTGACTCTTGCTGAGGAAGTGAGGAATGCTTCTGGCTGTATCATAATGCAACGTTACTCAAGTTTCGCAGAGTTATAGCACTAATAAACCAACAGAACTGGAATGGCTAAGGGAAACAGTTATTAATCAGCAAAGATCAGAAGCTCTTTCTTATTTTTGCAGTTATCAAAAAGATAGTATTTATCTTGACAGTCTTCCTGGAGTTTGTCCCAGATCGCTACCAAGAATCACCAAGAGAGACAGTGTAAATGACAAATTCACATTTAGCAGTCCTGGAAAATGTACTATTTTACTGTATCAGTCACAAAGCATTTGAAAATAAGCCATTTTTTTGTGAAGTTAAACTTCATTAATTTATTTTGCTTTCTTCTGGAGAGCGTATTTTGCAATGTTGCCAAGACTTATTAACACCAACAGCTCACTCCATTGTAGGTCACTTATTTTCAAGTGATTTCAGTGACTTCAGAAAGCCTCAGGGGCTACTACTGGAAAATAAAATACTCTCTGAAGTAATTATTTCAAAAATTTTTGCTTAACTTTGATAAAGTGGAATTAAGGCACAAAAGAGCTCACTATCACAAATCCACAGGAGAAAACTTAGCAAACAAGCAGAAAGAAGTGACGGTTCCATATCTTAGCCTCTAATGAGTTCTCACTGTTAAGTGCATGAAGTTTCACCACTCCGAAACACACACAGGGTGAAATTCTACTTTTCTAACTAAATAAATACTAATTTGTCTGATTCTGCTGAAAACCAACAAACAAAAAAGTATACTGAGAAGGAAAAGAAATATATATTAAAAAAATCCACTTCAGGACAGCAATTTTATTTCTGTGTACAAGAAAAATGTGTGTAACATATATAGCACCATCTTTCTACAGGGAAGACCTGCCCTGAGAAATATGGACATAAATTAAAATGAAGCAAATGGTATTAAAAGTATACATTACATTTTACCAATTTGCATCACAACAAGAGAGTGGAGAAGAAATGACAGCAGCCAATTATGACAACAACCATTATGACAAAGTCTCCTTAATGACAGCAACAAAAGTAATACAGAAAAAAAAAACCTTTTTGATTAATTTATGCACAAAATAGTTGATACTGTAAAAATAAAAACAATCTTTGAGAGAGATCCAGGTGGATAGATTTCCTAGGATTATCCAAGGTGTAAATATTTGTCCATAGGAAATACATTAACCAAGAACACTGTTCAAATATTCCCCAAAATGAATGTGTAGTGTTTTACTGAAAAGGCCTTGTAAATGTTTGAAAGTATCAAGACGAGTTCACTCAAGATGTATGAGAAAAATTAACACAACAACTAGACTAATCTCTAAAAACACTGTTTTTATACAGTACAAGGACTGACATTGCTTTACTGCGTTTGCACAGGCAGTCCTTCCAATAAAAAGTTCACTTAGGCAACAAAGGTGTAACATACACATATGTTGGCAGAAGTATTAAGGACTCTTAGGATGTCTTGAGATCAAATTCTATTAAAGTGTGTCAGACTTACTTGCAATTACCATGCATGTTTTCTTACTTTACTGGCATTACAAATTATGCTAGCTTAAGTTTCAAGCAGCAATTTTTGGAGGGTTCAGTTTCATCACATAAGTATGCATGACTTCATTAAAATAAAAGATAAAAAAGGAAACTACTCGACTTATAGTTGGCTCCGGTGAACACTTCAAATACTTTAGAACAATTAATATCTATAGCAATTATAATAACCGCAACTTGCAATTGATAGCCGATGGCTCCAAGAAACCTCAGACCTGAGCAGCATTAGGAAATAACAGACAAAAACAGACTGAAAGAAAATGATCAAAGGTGACACTTGAGACTGAGAAAATAACTGTTACAAAAAGCAACAAAGAAATTCCATTTCCAAAAGCAAGGAGAGCTTGACTGAGTTGATTCTGCGTGAGCAAACAGAATTTGTACCAAATTTTGGTACAGCAGTAAACTTAATTAGCTCAACAAATAATGTCGGAAAGCAAATGATGAGCAAGTAAATATCCAAAACTTGAGTTGTACCACTACAGCTCTAAAAGATGAGAAAGAGTTGTGACAACTCCAACCACAAGGTGAGCATGCTGAATTCTAAGCAAGCTGCAAATAACACTCAACAGCAGACTACAACCTGCTGAGCATCCATTAAGAGAAAATTACAGACAACATCTGTAATTACAGTGCTCTCTAAATGAAATCAAAGGTGCTGTTTACACTTTCCGTGCTGCTATAAAATATTTTTCCAGATTCTTTCAAAGTCTATACTTGGACACACATTTTTTCAGCCTCATTCACAGCATTTTCTCAGAAATGTTCCTTTTCAATGAAAGAGAGGAAAGGAAGGTGTATGTCCTTGTAAAAGGTTTCATCAGAAGGTTTTTTCTTCTGCTCTGGCTAAAAATAAGGTCACACAAACTCTTCCCTCAGCAAAGAACCCTGCAGGACTAACAAATATAAAAAGACCTGTTAACGTGCTGTAAAGAGGACACCACATAGGAAGCATGGCGAGACCTTTAGAAATACATTAAATGCACAGATTCTCTTACAGCATACTGACATTTAAATAATAGGAACGCCATATAGTTCTCTCTCTCTCTTCATTAACCTATTGTTTTAACACCACCACAAGCATTATTTAAGACAATCTTGCAACACAGCAGAACCAATTCCAAATACCAATCTCACATTATAATTAACAAGTCACAGGTTTAGAAATCAATCCTGAATATGCAGTGAATTTCCACATCCAAAAGAAAAAAAAAACCTGCAATCTATCTAGAACATACCAAAATTCTGTAGTAGATTCATGCTTTGTTAGCTACATGAAAGTAAGTACCCATGAGCTCTAAATCAACTCTAATAAAAGCAGGTATTTTGTGATAATTTGCATGCAACCTCATTTTCACAGATGATCTCTTGAGAAGTGGCAGACCTCTTCCATACTTCTAATTATTTCACATACACAAAGCGACAATTCAGAACAGCAGCATCTCAGGGTCCTGAGAGCTGGCTTATGTGGTTGCTGGGCTCTATTATATTTGAAAAGTTGTGGCTGTCAAGCAAAATCCCCAGGGACTAGAAAAAGGGAAATAGTACTTTCATTTACAGGAAAGGGAGGAAGAAAGACCTGGGGAACTAAAGGCCAGTGAGCCTCACCTCTGAACCTGGAAAGATCACGGAACAGATCCTTCTGGAAGACATGTTAAGGCACACGAGGGACAAAACGGTAACCCCACACAGGTTGCATGGCTTCAGGAAGGTTGTGCCTGACCAGCCCAGTGACCTTCTATGACAGAGGAATGCCATCCATGGACAAAGGGATGGCAACTGATGTCATTTACCTGGACTTCTGCAAGGCCTTTGACATGGTCCCCCACCACATCCTTATCTCTGAATTGGAAAGATACGGATTTGAAGGATGAACTACCTAGTGGATAAGGAATTGGTTGGAAGGTTGTAGCTAGAGGGTTATAGTCAATGGCTCTATCTGTGTTCATGTAGAGGCGGCTAATAAGCGTTGTGCCCTAAGAGTGCATATTGGGTCCAGTACTCTTTAATATATTTATCAATGACAGATGATGGGATTGAGTGCACCAACAGAAGGTTTGCTGATGACACCAAGCTGAGCTGTGTCAAGGTGACTCCAAATATGTATACAAACTGGGAGAAGAACTCCTTGAGAGTACCCCTTTGGAGAAGGGCTTAGGGGTCCTGATTGATGAAAAACTTAACATGAGCCAGTAGTGTGTAAACGCAGCTTGGAAAGCCAATGGTGTCTTGGGTTTCCTCAGAAGAGGAGTGGCCAGCAGGGCAAGGGAGGCGGTTTTCCCCCTCCATTCCGTCTTTGTGAGGCCCCTGCTGGAGTTCTCATCCAGGTTCAGGGTCTCCAACACCGGAAAGGTGTGTAGATTTTGGAGAGGGTCC